AAAAAAATAACTGTAGTAAGAAAAACAAATGAAAAATGCGAACTAATGTAACGTCGTATGGTGAGTTTTTGTTCGTATCGTGGAGCAAAAATATGTTCGAATTTCATGTCGTATCCTGAAAATTTCGTATGCTGGGGCGTTCGTAACCTGAGGTACCACTGTATAAGGAAATGCTTTATCGAATCGGATTCTAGTGACTTTGATTTGCAGTGTTGTTCTTTCACTTGTACTAGCTGTATGAAAAGAACAAACATTTGAAATAGAAGAATCAACTACTGTAGTTAGTAGCATATCCAGAATATTAATATGGGTGCTGCTCAAAACAGATTAGGGGAGGACGAAGGCATGTACCTCTTTGTCATTTTCCGGAGAATGCTACTCAATTACCTCGAAATTGCTTTAATTACATGGCCGTACCTAATTGAAGTCATGCGTTATTGGCTGAAATTTGAAAAAAATTGTATACCTATAAATTTCCACTTTCATCCGTCTGTTTGTCTGTCCTTAGTTAATCTCAAGAACGGAGATAGATAGATGAAAGCCGGAAATCACGTTATTTCAATTCAAAAAATTCCTCTGGAAGGAATTGGATACATGACCGGCATGACTTTATTGCTAACAGGAAAAGTATGCTGTACAGGGGCCAGCCACTACTAATTTGAGGTTGAGAGAATATATTTTAAATTATTAATAAATTAATTAAAAATATGATTAAAAATTGCAGCCCGGCATTGTGATAATGCCACAATAAGTAATTGCTTTTTTCCTTTTCCTGGAAAAATCATAAACATTGGATATGCACTTGTACTTGAAATTGAATCTCCACCTATAGTTGTTTCTTTATGAATACGTACAGTACAAATTATATAGCACTGAATAGGAATTGAGAGTACACGTCAATCCGAAATCCATATGTAAAAGAAAGAATTGAATAAATTGTACGTTTTTAACCTTCGGATATTTTAATTGCTGAACGAAATAATGTACTGTATCTAGCCTATAAACGTAGAATTATTTAGTTAAAACGAGAAATTAACCATTATCATTTTCATTTTTTTATCTCAATTCACCAACCTTTATGATGCAGTTTTTCGATAAAAATATTTCCTAAATATTTTTCTTTAAGGAAGACAACTCGTTTAAATGTTTCCTGTCTGTTTTCCAATTTTCTGCTCCTAAAAAACAGTATTTCTCACAAATGGTGTATAGAGCTTCATTTTTATCTTACATGAATAATGGCTATTTTTTCGTATAGTGTAAACGGTATTTTTATCTGCTACCATAATTTAAACTTCTTTATTAAGAGTTCTATAAAAGCTATTCTGAAAATATTACATGACGATATTAATACAAGTTTCTGTTTTTACCTGTGGCGTAATTACGAGAATGATGTGGTGTTCGACCCCCACAGACTTTAGGAATGAAATTTAAACTAAAAAAACTTTGTATTAAACAACAAATATAATCGAATTGTAATGACTTTGTTTATAAATAAACAGTACTTTATGGTACGCTTGATTCATTTTGATCGTACTTTCTAGATCGTTTTCCTAGATCAGTGGCCAATAATTATACAATTTTGCATTTTCGTAAAACAAGGCACATTTTAGATTAAACGATTGGCGTTTATAATGCTATATATTGAGAATAGAAAAGCTATAAAAAAAAATTAATCTGTAAGTATAATATCGTATTTCCCGATTTAATCTTTCTGTTATATCATAGAATTTTTAAAATTAAAACTTTCTTAAGTTGCCAATAACTGTGTAGTTTACCCTATTATTTAATTTATTGAACTTGACTAATCCAAGGAAATTCTTCTACTTATATCCGTTTGCATATTTCCACTACTGCATTACTCCCAAGATATGTAAAAAAGCTGAGCATTCTCAACCATACTTTAATTTTACATATAATTTTTACTGCATCAATTATCAGTATAATCTAAATATATAAAATTACTTGTCCTGACTGACTGACAGTGATTGATTCATCATCGTCCAGAGCAAACTGCTGAACCTAAAGAGGTGAAATTTAATACACAGTTAGGGTACGTCATGAAAACGCACACTAAGAAGAGATTTTTCCAAATTCCTCCCCGCGGGGAGAGAGGGAGAGGATTAAGGCTTAACCTGAAGAACGGCTTCTACTGTACTATTTCAGATGCGATTTTTTGTTTTCAACTACAGTCGACCCCCCTATAACACTGTTGATTTTTCCGTTTTATATGAATTCCATGTTGTATGAGTCACTTAGATTATACAGATATGTGTGCCGGGCTGTGAACGGCTCACGTATTTCTAAAATTCAGATTTCAAATGCTGATTTCAACGGTACTCGAGTAATATTTAAATACCTTGTTATGTAGTCTTACTAAATCATTAAACTTAGTAGGTACTATATCTTTTGAATCACCTATGGGTAAATTACAGTAAGCGTCAAAATCCTCCCAAAGAACGCTGGAGACTATTTTAAAGAACTGGAAAATATTGTAAAGTACATTTAGTACGAAAACTTTATATTTATTTGCATACTTATAGGCCCTATGTTTACGTATATAATTATCTGAGAAATGCAATTATTTTATTAATAATATTAACATACAAAGAACATATGTATTGGAAGAATTTAGATGCAGACAAAAATTTATATCATATTTGTGGAAAATGGAAAAGTAGGCTACTGGTACACCTCAATAATCAGTATAGCCTCCTTTGGCTTTTAAAATGTTCCTAATGCGATCAGGCAATAGAATTAATAATATTTCTGCAATGTTATTTTGTTCCACTCATTCTGTACACGTTCTCATAATTGGTGAATGTTTTCAGGCTGAGCTGCATAACGGACAAGCGACGTTTAAAAAAGGACTAGATGTGTTCAATCGAGTTGAAATCAGCGGCCACTCAAGCAGGCTAATATTTTGATCCCGAAGCCATGACATTGCCCTCCTGGATGTATATTTTGGATCATAATCTTGCTGGTAAATGAAAGAGCTCCTATCAATGTGATAATAACTAACAGATTGTAACAAATAATTGTGAAGTATCTCAGTGTAAATAACTCTATTCATTCTATTAGGTATAGAACATAGCATTCCAGACCAAAAATAGGTAATAAAACCCCAAACTATAATACTACCACCAACACCAAATTTCAAAGTTATTTGTACTTCTAGCTCAGTTATAGACTTCAATGTAGTCCATGCCCATTTTCGCCCATCTGAACCAATTCTATTAATTTTGGATTCATCTGACCAGATTATCGCGATGTCCACTCGTTGTCAAACGTTTCTGTTTTGGCACTCAACGTTTTCTTCCTGCAGCAGCGCCAACTACTAGCCTTTTATGCGCCCGGTGCGAGCTTCTGTAACTACGCCCCAGAACTATGACTCAAAACTTAGTCCAGGTCATTTCTGCGCCCCCAGGATCTGCGCCCTGTGCCTGAGCACCACTGGCACCGCCCTAGTTACGGCACTGCCTGTCAGCTGTTCAATTTTCGTGATATGATAGCTCACTATTTTTTATTCTGCATATACTCCAACGTCCAACACCAACTTCTAATGCTGTTTTCTCAACAGAAAAAATTTCTTCAGAAAGTCCACAATACGGAGTTTCTTCTCACTGAAAAGCTTCTTCATGATATTATTATTATGAATATATTAAGAATATTATTAATGACGCATATCAAGCAGCAGCTCACTTGCACTTTTATACGCTAATATCCCATTAATGTGCACGAAATTACATTGTTTAACGTTGATGTTATAACTAATAAATTTAAGCATCAAAATCCTCCCAATGCAACAAGCAGAATTTATACACCATAGATATTTTTAAAATACGAAAATGATTCTAATTGTTTGCTATTATGTGAATATTGTAATAATCTTACAGCTGAATTATTTCCTTTTACTTTTACTTTTGCATATCGAATAGTTTTTGAAATTTTCTATAGTAGGTACTGTACCTACTTTGGGAGGATTTTGACGCTAGTAATAATTTCTATAAATATTAATATTAAAATAAATGGAATATCAAAAACCATTTAAATACATTTTATTTAATTTCAGATATTAAAAGAATAAAATGCAGTTATATTGTATTCAAGAAGGACTATCTCGGAAATTCTATAATTTAGGCTATTTCATCGGTAAACATCCATTTATATTTATATTTTGTCCCATTACACTAACTGCAATTTTATCATTTGGAATAATGTACATAAATGTGAACAGAGACTTGCATTACATTTATACTGCAATAAATGGCAAAGCTGCACAAAACAGAGAATTTACTAAATCACATTTTCCAGTAAACACTTCATATTACGCTGATGTGCAACGAATTTTAGACCCAACTACTGTCTCAGTCGCACAAATTGTAGCAAAAGATGAAGGGAATTTACTTCGAGAAAATATTATTAATGAAATTATTGTTCTAGATAGCATGATTAAAAATATTACTGTAAAGTTGAATGAAACTAATGCAAACTATAACGTCCTGTGCGGCAAAAAGTTCTCCAAATGCTTTGAAAGTAATGTCATGAAAATACTTTTAAATTATGATGATTTTATTACAAGAAAATATAGAGTAAAATATCCTGCTATTGTGAATGAAATTGTATATTCCTACGAAGAATATGTATCAAGTGTTGGAGGAATGATAACCGACAAAAACGGTTATTTGATAAACTTCAAGGCAGTAAGACTACTTTATTTGTTAGACATCAGCGATAAACTCAAAGAAAAAGCAATTAAAAACTGGAAGATTGCTTTTAATGAGCTGCTACAATCTAAAAAATTTAATCATATTTCGATAAGCTTCATTAACGATTATGTGGTCGATAAAGAAATACAGAAATTTACTGACAGGTTGTTGCTTCGTTTACCGATTGTTTTTATAATTGTTGTTGTTTTCTCACTTGTGACTTGCATGACAAACGATTGGGTGAAAAGTAAACCCTGGTTAGGGCCTTCTACGTGCATATCGGCAGCATTGGCCATCGTCAGTGGATTCGGAATAATGGGTTTTGCTGGTGTTACTTACGTAGACTTCAATATTGCACTCTGTTACGTAATTTTAGGTAAGATTATATAATGCAAAATACTTTTTGCTTACTTTTTGAGCGAAATTATTCAATGTAATACTTTTGTAGGTACGGAAATTGATGACTCCTTCGTACTAATAGCTGCATGGAGGATAACTGATTATAGAAAGAGTGTTTGTAGACGTTTGGGCGAAACGTATTCCGAAGCTGGTGTATCTATCACAATTACATCTCTTACCAATTTCATTTGCTTTAGTATCGGAATAAGTTCGCCTTTTCCTGCATTTCGTTCGTTTTGCATATATGGTTGCACTTGGTTTCTGCTTACTTATTTATATCAGATCACATTTTTTGGAAGTTGTTTAGCTTTAAGTGGATATAGAGAGAAGAAAGAACTTCATTCATTCACATTTCAAAAAATGAAAGGTAAATCTTATATTGTAAATTATCTACTTTAACCATTTAATTAAATATTTTACATTATTTATTTACGTTATATTGCATATAAGTTATTAATGAAAAATTTACCATATTGTTTAACAAATATAGAATACTTAATATTAGATATTTAATATACACGGAATAAGTACATAGTTACAGACTTTAATTTCATCTTCATTTTTCAAGTTAACAGCAAGAATACATGATTCGTGTAGTCCAACCCATATTTTATGAAAATGATCATAGTTGGCAGGTGTTCAAAATGTATATCTATGCAATATGATTAGACATAGGCTAATTAGACATCTAAATACATTCTAGGAGTACATAACTAAAACCAACCAGGAAAAACTGATTTTCAAAAATAATACCTCTAAAATTGTACAGTAAAACCTCGATTATCCGCCCCCCCGATCAACCGACCTCTCGGTTAACCGACCGTCCTAGTCAGCAAATTTCAAATGTCCGCTAGTGATGTGGCGCTACAATATTTGGCTATGTCTTGGCTACTTTAATATTATTTTTATGTGTTTTAGCTGGCAACACTCATTCGACCATGAAAGGGAGCCAGTATTTAAACGAAGCTTAATTTTCTAATTTTTAACGATACAATAGCGACGATTATTACTTTAAAAAATTTTTGTTAGGCTTAACATCGATGAAAATTCAACGCAAAATAGGTTAATAGCGATATACTAACATACTAATATACTAATTACATGGGATATAATAATATACTACACTAATAATGGATTTTTTCATACTTTTCGGTTATCCGACTTTTCAATTATCCGACCAACCCCAGTCCCCAATTGGGTCGGATAATCGAGGCTCTACTGTAATGGATTTTTTCATACTTTTCGGTTATCCGACTTTTCAATTATCCGACCAACCCCAGTCCCCAATTAGGGCGGATAATCGAGGTTCTACTGTATTCTGTTTAATTCTGTATTGCAAGATTGCAAGAAACTCGTGCACATTTTTACAACTATTTTGTTGTCACATTTAAAAAAGTGTATACATATTATGAATGATAAGTGCAGTAGTACTGTATTTAATTTCATCATGTATTTTCATTTATTTCCTGTGCTGAAGTCTTAACAGAATCCTCATAATTCAAATTTTTACGTCTGGCGGTGACATACAAGAGGGAACTTTGTAACGTTTGGCATGTTGAGGTGAAGAAGTAGCCTCCAAATAAAGGTCATCACCGCCTTGAAATTGTTATTTCCTCATGATGTACGAAGAAACAATTTCAAATAATTACAACATTTGAATTAGAAATAGGTTTATAGGTTTAGCAATATTTAATAGGTTTAGAAAATATTCAATGTCTAAACCTATAATATAACATTTTATACGATTTATATCTTTCTAGGTGAAAAATAAATACTGTAGAAATATATATTAAAATATCAAATATATCCTCTTAAAAATGCTATTTTATTGCATATGACGTCACCAGAATATATTTTTGAATCGGTTCTTAAATTGCATAAATTTACAAACTCTATCAAAATCTTGTACAACTTTCCGTCGATACTGTATAACAATTAATAAAAACCACGATAATAAGTAACTTATACTTTTAAACTTTCACAAGAAACAGAGGAAACGTTAAAATAAATTGTCTTTACATTTTATCCTTTTTTATACTTTAGGAATATAACAATCTTATGGTGGAGTCGGCCTTTATTTTGATCAACCGTCTCAATATGCAAAACGTTAAAAAATATATTAATATACAAATATTTTTGTGAGGTTGCCGACTAGAGGGGGAAATCAGTTAATCCCGTGTCAGGAAGGATCTAGTTCGCATGTGAGTGGTGGGGTTGGAGGCAGAGATGACTCGGTTTGACATTGACAGATAGTTTAACATGTGTAAATCATTCCGGGACCCGCTGTTTATATTTGTGTCACGTTGTTTTGAGAACTTCTTTCTCTCTCTCGCACGTAACCTTTCGATATATTTTAAACATTGAAAATTTCGCAATTAACACGATTTCGGACCTCATCTGGAACCTCACATTTTTCATAATTTAATAATATTTATATAATATTATTGTATAAGTATTTATATATTTGATAATATATTACTTAAAAAGCAATATTTCTTTATATTTTTCAGGTTCAATTGAATATCAATCTGAAACTCCAGATAAGAATTTCTTAATGGAAAAGTTCGAAGTAATCAGTTTTTTTCTATCTTTAAAATCGAGTAAATTTCTGATATTGATGTTATTTGTCGTGAATATAAGTCTCGGAGTTTACTGCTTACGATATATGAAAACTGGAAACGATTTTTCGGATATATTCAGCACAAATTCTATGCCAGCAATATATAACAATATAAGTTACACATATTTTCCAAATTATTCTTATCCGCTTTCTATAATAATTGATAAACCAATAAATTATGCCGATGACAATGTATATCACGATATAGAACAATTTATTGAGAAAGTTTCAGCTCATCCTCATGTTGCAAGCACGGATTATATTGTATCTTGGTATAAATATTTTAAAATAATGCAAAAAACACAAGTAATGAGTTGGCTCATAAAAAGTTACAATATGAGTAAAATGGAAGACTTTATAGAAGTATTGCGCTTCGTATTCTTTAAACTACCTCAAACGACAGAAGTTCACGGCGATGTGGTTTTCAACGATAATTATACAGAAATCATCGCTACTCGTTTTATATTACCCGTTGCCGATATAAAAGGACAAACTGACGAAACAGAATTAATGATAGATTTATATAAGCTTGCTGAAGAATCACAGCTTCCAGTAAGATTTGATAATTTCATGTTTCCTCTTCTTGAACAGTCAATAATAATAAAGGGGATAACGTTACAATCGGCTGTTATTACTTCTGCTATAATTTGTGTAATTTTCTTCGGTTTTGTGCCAAATATTTGTTGCGCTTTATGCACAGCTCTAATTGTGCTTTGCATCATTTGCGAAACTGTTGGATTTGCTAGTTTTCTAGGTATTAAAATTGATATTGTCTTGCTCGGTTGTCTCATTATATGCATTGGTTTCTCCATAAATTACCCGACTCATATTTCTTTTTCATTTTTCATGGCAAAAGACACAAGTCCGAATAAACGACTTAAGAAATGTCTTTACGACGTAGGCCTGCCAGTCTTTCAGGGATCCTTTACCACGATTTTAGGCGTTTGTATCTTGCCATTCGAGCCATATTACTGTCCTGGAGCATTTTTTAAAATAATCGTAATTATTGCTTTAGAGACTGCTTTTCACTCGTTATGTGTAATTCCTGTCATTTTGAGTTTGTTAGGAAAATTCGACAAATCGCTTTCAGTAATAGTTAATCCGGAATTTGATAGCGAATTTAACTCAATGTTACAATTAACAAAAGCATAAATTTCCTGAATCTCGATATTTGAAAATAGAAATAACTGATTTCAAAATGTTAATTGTAAAACATCATTTTAATACGATCGGAGAGAAATGAATATTCATACAAGGCTAAACATGTACATACGATCAAACAAATTAGCAGAAAATTAGATGATTTTTCTGTGCTGTATTGAAAAATTCATTAAAAGCGAAGTGACGTTAATGAATCTTCAAATTATTGTTCAAGTTTGTTTACTCAATTTCATGTCATTGGCCATTTTTATTACTTAACTATTAAATTTTTGTCTTATCAAACAGTAAATATCAATTGATTTTAACATCTGAATCTCTAAATGACTTTTTTTAAATATATTCATTGTTTTTATTTGTAAAGTAAGAAATGATCAATGTAATAATCAGTTTTGGCTGGTAAACATATTTAATAGTATTATTTGTATGTAAAAAATTTAACCTTGTATTATAATTTAACCCTAATATGTAATTAAGAATCTCAGAAATTTATTCTGATATTACAAAATGATTTTTCGCAATAAAATAATGTGGATAAAATTGATATTACTTGGATTTGCTATCTTTGAGAATAAACGATTGCTATTTTATGTACGATTCTATTGACAATTTCTAACAGAATGCCAACGATACTTTTAATACTTTTTTCTTAAATAATAATAAAAGGAAGAATATTTCTATTAATATATTTTTTAATATAGGATGTGAGTCAGATATGAAAAGTTAAGGCAGGAGGACCCGAATGACTATATACGAACTTCCGTTTTAGACCGGAAGTCAAGTTATTTCAATTCAAAAATTTTCTCCTGAACGGAGTTAGATACATGGCCAGCATAACTTCGTTGTTAACAGGAAAAGTTTGTTGTACAGGGGCAAGCTGCTACTAAATAGTGATGTGCCGGATCTTTAAAAATGTATATCCGCGGATACGGATATAGATACGGATCATTAGTGTCTAGATCCGCGAATACGGATCTCAACTTTCATACTCAGTCGGCGCCGGTGCTTGTGACCTTAGACCGATAGTTGACGCTTTGCGTTAGTAACGCGACGTGTTTTGACCGGCACTGCGCGTGTTTTTGTTTATACTTTATAGTTTAGTGTGACACGGGATAGCGTAGATTACGTTTGTATCTTTGGAGAGTGTTGAATTAAATTAAAATAAAAACAATGTCGACAAAAATGTTTAGTAGTGTAATGTGGAAATATTTTACGATAGTAAATGAATTTTGCATGATAAAATTTTTGCAATATTAATGTGCCAAATATGTGATTTTAAGAAATAAAAAGTGATTTGAATTGAAGTTATTAGTATTTTATTGCTACCTATCTTTAAAATTTCCTATAAGTAATGAAATTCATTAAGATAAAAGATCCGCTAAAAAGTAACGGATACGGATAAAAATACGGATCTTTTTTCCCCTCGGATATCCGCGGATACGGATACGGATATCCGGCACATCACTACTACTAAACTTGTGCATTGTGACGATTTCACGATAAGTAATTGCTCGTTTTTGTATATATATATTTAATCAGTGACTTTTTCACTTGGCGCGAATCAAATTTAAAAATCATAAAAACATTTTATCGCGTGTGACTCTCGATAAAATGTTTTTATGATTTTTTAAATTTGTAATACTAATGAAAGGCTTATCCAAAAGGCATGCCCACGGTGGATAAAACCACTAAAAGAGTGTTCAGTGGTTTTATCCAGATCAGTTGGTCGTGCGTTTGTGCCTCACCAATGGACCGGTCACGTGGAGTTTTCCGATTTTCTTCACGTTTATAACACCTAAATAGAGGCCAATTTAGCCACAAAAGTCCTCCCAGGAGGAATCTCCCCGAGCAGATCGTCCAAATATTGCGTTGCCATAACCAAATAAACCAAACTTATCCAAAATGCTCCATATTTAAATTTTCCGCCCGATGCCAAATACTCTAGAGACAGCCCTGCTCTGTTTTTTTTTTATTGTAAATCATTATTTATGCATTAGTTATTGCTTTATTTGCCTTTATTTATCGTCATTAAGATTTTCGATGAGAAAAATTAAGCGTTAGGAACAGAAGTCGTTTATTAAATTTAATTTTTTAACTGATACAGTCGACCCCTATAACACGGTAGATACGTTCCGTTCTTTACGAATCCATTTTGTACGAGTCCTTGCCAATCACAGACCGACACGTGTGAAGTTTACTGACTACGGCTGTTTGAAAGGTTTCTTACATAAAATTAATCGATTCTAGACTAACTCGACTCAATATTTTCAAAATACGTATATATTTTTTGGGAATAATCCGTATAAACTACGCTATAAACAAAAAATTGTAGGATTACTTACCGAGTGTGCACCGTTCGACGTCGCCATTGCTTAAGTTTGTTTTCGTCGCGGAGCAGCGCACCAAACGGCGGGCGATTTCTGATAAGTTATTTTTCTGCGAAAACTTCGTTGAACTTTGGAGACATCATTAATATAAATAATTTTTATGGCCGTTGAATAAGTAATGTTTTTTTTCACAAGAAATGTATAAAATTACAGTACTGTATTAGACTTACGGTACCTAATTTACATACTGTACAGACGATAGTAAACTCAACACTCGCCTAAACTCTCCGTAGCGTGGCACTGGACGGCAAAAAGTAGTTCGGCTGCCCGATGACGTTTTACCGAATTATAGGAGTTTTTTTACCATGTTTGTACGGATACCGTCGCAATTTTTTCGCTGTCTTATAGGAATCCGAACTATAGGAACCCGTGTTACAGGAATATCTACTGTATATCGAACTATAAATTAACTAAGATATCTATCGATAGATATCAGTTATCAACCAAAAACTAAAGTATCGATAACAGGACTATCGATAGTTATACTGTCGATTTCCGTCCCTATACGTGTCATTGATGCAAAAGAATTTAACTCTTTAATAAGCGTTGTATAAAAGATATTCTGGAAAGATTGCATGGCAGTATTAATAGAGGTTTCTATTAGTAGGTAGCAAACTCTCTCACAGGTTTTTCTGTTGTTGCCCGAGACCAATAACTATACAATTTAGCATTTTCGTAAAACAAGGCACATTTTGAATTAAATGATTGGCGTTTGAAATTTCTATACGCTGGCAGTAGAAAGCTGTAAAAACGAATTCACAAGTATAATACCGAATTTCCTGATTTAATCTTTATTGTCAGAATTTTTTAAATAAAAATTTCATTAAGTGACCAATAACTGTACGATTCATTCTACTAAATAATAATGAAATGATAGTATGTTTGTAGAGATAATCTCTTTAAAAATTAATTTTATTATATTCGCATATAATAAAACACTCTCATGTAACAGTCATTATAAATTTTGAATAAATACTAGTATAAACAATCAAAATAATAGCGATATTTATTCATTTATCATAATGAGGCTTACACACTAATCTTTGAGAACAAACAGTATAAATACAAGGGATGGGAGATTTATTTCACAGAGAACACAGAGTTAAACAGAATATAATAAGGGAACAGTGATTGCTTTCTTCTGCACTGTTTTTATAAAACTTACAATATGCTGATCCTTGGGTATTTACTTATTTTCAAAATTACATTAGAAAAAGTTTATATTAGTATAAGAAAAATATTGTTAGCTATACTGTTTGTTATTTGAAAGAATTTAAACATATTACTATAAAAATCTTTTCAAGCTTTAGAAGACTTATATAATTTTTTCAGTATTNAAAATTACACTAAGTTGGACTGTGAAAAGGATAAAAAGAGTAGACTCGAAAAAAATTATATTTTTTTTTATGTAAGTCTTCTAAAGCTTCAAATGAAGATAATTGAAGATAATCCTGGATTATGTCATCTTTATGCAAAGTAAAATTATCCTTTGAAGCTTTAGAAGACACGTAAAAAAATATAACTTTTTAGAGTCTATTCTTTTTATCCTTTTCACAATCCAACTCAGAAGTAACAGCAAATTGGCTTGAAGATACAACTAAAGTTAGATTGTGAAAAGGATAAAAAGAGTACACTTGAAAAAAATTATATATTTTTTTATGTAAGTCTTCTGAAGCTTCAAATGAAGATAATCTGGGTTATGTTGTCTTTATGCAAATAAGAATTTTATAAAAATCATACATTATCACTCAATCAGACGCAAAAGCAGACCACTAATTTGGAAATGGTTCGAATCATCTTCACTGTGATAATTAGGAATATAAGCAATTGATTCCTCATTCCATTCAAATTGACCATTGACTTTCTGATGTCTAATTATATCTAAACCATTAAGTTGTTTTTCAAGGTTTACAATTTTTAACTTTACTGGATTTCTTTTCTTAACAAATAATGGATAATGAAGTCGGAATTTTGTGAGGTCATCTGTTTCACACTGTAAAAAGATTCGGGGTGTTGACGGAACCTCAAAGTTTTGTTTTGAATTTAAATCTGCAAAATTAATCTCAAACTGTACTGTGTAGAATGTCTTCACCTTTGAAATGATGGGTAGAGCTATTGCTTCAATAAAACAATCTAATTCGGTATAGAATACAATGGTAAATGTATCATCTTTCTTCAGTGGTTCCAGTTTGTTATAATTTCTTGAATGGAGATTTAGAGGAATTAGATTTTCTCCATGCTTTGATTGACTTTCTAACTGATTTGTACTATTAAGTTTGCTAAGATTACTGCATTTTTCGGAGGTTAAGGAGTAAGACAATAAAATGTCCATCCTTTCTTTGGCACTTAAACAAAAATGTGGAATAAGTGGCTTTAATAGATCTTCCAATTTATCATTTTTATTGATTGCCCATTCTATAATTTGTCTCAGTAATGTTTTTTCATCTACAGGAGAAGCATTTAATATTATTTTCATTACTGTATTTTGTGAAACATTACTTTTACTTAACCCATTACTTTTTAAGACCTTATCAGTTTCTTTAAATAATGTTACTGCACTTTTACTGAGTATTGAAGGAACTCCACTTTCGTAAGCAAATTCAAAAATCTCCACTGCATTACTTGGAGAGAGAATTTTGAGCAAGTGATCACAACAAAGAGTTTTAAGATGAGGCAACATAAAATAGTCAGCAGTACTGTAAGTTTCAATGGCAACATCACTTGAAATATCAGGTAAACTATCAGCATAAATGTATCTGAAAAGATTAGAAGTATTAAAAATCATTAGATGATTTTATATATATATAAAGATAATTAACAATTATATTTAATTAAGATTATTAACAATTATAATTGCAATTTGTGTATGTATGCCACAAGCTAAAATTTTCTATTTCAAAAAAAATGCTTAGCGATTTCTTGAAATGCTAGCATATCTTATTAATAAGATATGCTAGCATATCTTATTAATAAGATATGCCAGCATTTCAAGGAAAACTGGACATTTCTTTTAAGAATCTGTCCAGTTTTTCTGGTCAAGTATTGAAATGCTAATGTGGTTTCTGCAGAAATTGACATGGGTGCATATATCAACATATGTCTAATGAAACTAGTTGTTTCATATAATGTCTAATGACTTATTAGCACATAGTATGAAACAAATCAGCTGAATGCTTTTTCACTTGTGTATTTAGGAATATGCAGATTCTTGGATGTCTTTGATGACAATTTTTAAATTTTCACTTTTCATTTTTGGCCTTTTGACCTTGTAGGCACTCAGGGCTTTTTTGCATATCCATTGTAAGTTTGCCAGACCTACAACAAAAGCAGTTGGATGATGGGAGACAGGCCAAACATATCTGAAACAGACTGCTCATGATAAATTCCTATGCACTACCAGATTCAATACAGATTCCCAAAACAATAGGCTAATGCTTTAGGCTGTCGCCCACATTAATAAAACCATTATGTAGTATTGCCCCCTTCACCACAAAATTACGATGCCGAAGGCAAAGGCTAACGCCAAATTCGTACTGCATTGAATAGACTAGTGACTAGTATAATGTTTTTTGTTCAATTATTGTACGATATAACAAATAAAATATCTAATTATTTTTAATATAATGTTTTACTATATCACCCATAAAATTGTTTTTTGCTCCCAAAATATAAATTGTTACTAATCGCCCCCTCAACATGGAAAAACGCCCACATGGGGGCGATATCGACCCTATTGAGAAACACTGGTTTATGCAGATATGAAAAGACGGAAAAACAGGTGAAATAGAACTTTTGGAATCAGAATTCTCACTCTCAATGCTGTTTATGCAGAAGAGAAAAATGAAATTCTCAAGTATTTTTATCTTGAGTTGGCACACTCACAGACTGTAGAGAGGGTGCATGTGACGTCACAAGACTCTGCCCACATATACAGGGACTGTGCAAAAAAGTGTGCACCATATTGGTTGTTTGTTGGTTTGGTCTGAATTCCAACAGTAATTCACCATCAAGATAAAAAAACTGAAGATGTTTCATGGCAAAGACAAAGAATTAACAGGCAAAACTTTACACATTCCTCTGTGATAGATAATAAATGTGTTTGCAATAAACATTTCATTTCAGGTAAGTATAGTGTACATAATTGGTCTTGTTTTGGTTATTTTTTGTAAATTGAGGTTGAATTACCTTGTAGTTTGTATAGTGGAGAGTGGGAAACAGTGAGATGCTTTTCTTAATTCACTTTAATCCTACTAAACAGTTATTTTATGACAACTTTTTTTTATCTTGAGAAAAATAATGGATGCCCAAAAATTGGTGGGAAGTGAAATATTACGAACCAACCATCTTTGAAAAAATTTTTTCATGGAATCATAAAATCCTCTGTTTCCTTCAGAATGGATATTGGGACATACACAATTAACTTTTAAAGGTTACTAATAAAATGTAGGATTTTACTTAATATTTAAACAAACTGAAGTAAAAGGTGCAATGAAAAGATAAATGTCTTACCTTGATATCTCTTTCATACCTGGACTTAATGTTTTAAAGCCAAATTACAGAATAAAAAAATTAGTTAAATAGAACAGTAATGTTTAAGAAGAAAATAATATGCATTTACATTTTCTCACACTATTATGACACAAAAGAATATATTAGAATGAATTACAAGGGCTAATAATAGAAATGCTGTCTTGTAAAGTTGCTTTCTTGTTATAAATTTTGCTGTCTCACTGCTCCCTGTTTTTCTCTACTTGTAAACACAAAAGTGTTTGTGTAAGTGAGCAAAACTAATTGTAAAACTATTTTTTATTTAAAAGAAACCAGCAAAGCTGTATGATTTAGAATATCCAGATTGGGCCTCAACAATAAACATGGTTCTCCCATGTTTATTGTTAGCAGATTAAAGGAAGCAAGACCAAGACAAAAATGATATGAACATGCTATGAAAAGAAGAAAAATTACACAGTGTAAAAAAGTGCATCAGACTAAGGTTTGTTCCAATGAAGAAGTTTGTGAGGTTCTTTCCATGAAAGAAAGTTCACAAACTTCCCTGAAAGAACTTTCAGAAAGTTGTAAATTTAAAAACAACTTCAGATTTGTGCAATAATGGAAAGAGTACTGTTCACATACAAACTAAAGATGAAAAAGGAGTTGCATCTATGTCACAAACAGAACTAACAGTACTTCCATTATGATACATTATTTGGAGCAGGAATGTGATACACCTCAGAGAGAACTGGCAACATTAAAAGCAACAGCCACCATAAATGATTTTTATTCTCTTGAGTCATTTCAAGGAAATGATGAAAAAACAAGATTTTTTACAGGAGTGGCAAACTTCAATGTCCTTCTAGCTGTATTTGACTTATGTTCTGCTGTTGTTCATCATTCAGAACAAAGCAAATTCAGTTTCAAAAATTTTTGATGTGTTTGATGAAATTAAGAATGACTTTATGTCATCAGGATCTTGCCTACAGGTTCCATATTTCATGATCAACAGTTTCAAGAATTCTGGAAAAATGGATAAATGTTTTGTACAGGTAACCCCCGTATAACACGGCACTTCTATAGCACGGATTCGCTCTAACACGGTTCGAGAATTGGGTAAAACCCTCGTACAACAGGAAATGTAATAAATTTTTACATACTTAACTACTAATAGTTCACGAAAATTATTATTTTCGTGAACTATTAGTACTTAAGTATGTAAATTTTCTCTTCTCGCCTTCTGTCGATACACGTGGTCCTTCTCAAAACTTGTTTCAATGTTGCCAGATCGCGACGCTTCTGCTTCTGATGTTGCCGAATGTTTTTCCC